GGTGGAGGTATGCTTGAAACTCTGATCAAGCCTGGTGAGCTCCCTGTAAAGGGACATGCGCATAGCTTCTGGGAGCTCAACACTAAACCCTAAACCCCTAAACCCTAAACCCTAACTCCTAAACCCTCAACCGCATGTTCAGGAGGCAACCCTCCCTCAGGGCCAGGTGTCTCAGTGCCCCTGGGTGGGATTCTCGATTAGGGTTTAGGGTTTAGGGTTTAGGGTTTGAGGGTTTAGGGTTTCGGATTTGAGGGTTTAGGGTTTAGGGTTTCGAGTGTGAGGGTTTAGGGTTAAGGATTTAAGGTTTTGGGTTTGGAGTTTATGGTTTAGGGGTTCAGGGGCTTAGGGTTTAGGGTCTAGGGGTGTGGGGTCAGGGTTTAGGGGTTAAGGGTTTAGGGGTGGAAAGGTTTAGGGGTTTAGGGGTTCTGTACCTGTTCTCAGGTACGTGAATAGTTACGTGCAGCAGTACGGCGACGCTGTCGGGGGCTTGACTTGTATATATTTGCTTCTGCCAGCGTGTTCATGCAGATGCTACGCCCAGTGAGAATTGCACATGCTAGCAGCTCTAGCAGGTCTAGTACGCTTCGGCTTCCACACACGCAAAGTCATGCCCGCGCGCGCATGGAGGCTTTGATCTTTGCCACAAACGATGGGTGCGACCAGCCAGACCGGAAAGCGATGGACCTGTGCATACGTGCTTTAGTGTGAAGTGAAGGCTCGTCCAATTTGGTGTAAAGGTACCCGCAGATTGTCAAGGAACTCATCTACAACGAAGATCTTGGCTACAGGACCACTCAGCCTCGAATGCCTGGCTGGTATATCAGTAAAAAAAAAAGTAGGGTTTGTAGTATGTAGTATGCCTTTTTTCAGTGAATGTATATGGGGTTCCTGAGGAGCTTGCGGGACCTACATAAGGGTTTAGGCTAGGTCAAAACCCCCTACAGTAGTAGCCCTTACATACAGAGTTAATAGGGCCTGAGTGTACCTACAGTAGTCCCTTGTGGTACTTAGGGTTTAGGATTCGTCTTCAGGGACCTCCTGGACGCCCGAGATGACAGCGGAAATACGGCCCTCATCTACGCCGCTGCGAAGGTGAGATCCGCACACTTCAACCTACACTGTTTGGGGTGATCTTGTGGATTGCTGATATGGGCTAGGGTCTAAACTCCTTAAAGTGGGTTACATAGGCATTCATTAGCGTTTGTTAAGGGGGATACTAGGAGTTGAAATTATAGCTCATGTGGAGAATTTGTAGGAGCTCTCTGGTGATTGTATTCTTGGCTTCAGGGACCATGCGGGATTATCAAATGGAACAGAACATGGAAAATGACATGGAACTGAGGTTATAGAGGGCGTTATATAAGGTGTTACGGATTTTAAAACAAACTACCGTGATACGGATCTACAATAAATAATGTGATTTCCTCATGATGATAAGTGTAATTACTTAGGTTCCTCAATAATTTCTAGAACCCCTGCGTGACCTCAGTTTCCATTTCATTTTCGTTTTCCGTTCGGTTCTTCATTAAGGTCCCTAAGCCCTAGACCATTAACCCCTATAAGTTAACAACCCTTCAGAATCCCGAAGAAGAAATGGGGATTATATAGATAGAGAGAGAGAGAGAGAGACACATGTCGTAACATAAAAGCCTTGATGCAGGGATTCCGGCAATGCACCGCAGCTTTGCTTCGGGCCGGTGCTGATCCAGAGCTGCCAAATGAGGGCAACGGTTCGCGCCTGAGGACGACCTGTTGCAGCGAGGCTTACGTATGCCTCCCAAGTACTAAAGTGATAGTTTTTCACCCCAAAACAATTTGGTTGCGCTAATCTCACGGGTGTTTGGCCGGGGGATTAGAATTTCAACAGCCTGCCATATGTTCTGCAGTCCACCATGACGGGCTTTTTCTGTGAAGGAAGGTAAATTTTAGTTGCCATAAGATGGAAATTTAGCAAACAGCATGGTTTCCTTTCAACCTCTTTCAATCCCTGCATAGCCCCAGTTGACAGTTGATTTCCTAGTTTCTTTTCCATTTGATTATACATTACACCCTACACCCTACTCCCTGAACCCTATATGATCCCTGTATGACCCCATTTGACTCCTGTATATGGGCATATATCCTTGTTAATATCCCATATAGTTTGATTTAAGCCCTAAACCCCGAACCCTAAATCCTTTAACAGCGGCCTCGACTAGGTGGTCGTACCCCGCTCATGGAGGCAGCAGGTGGAGGATACAAAGATATCGTCAGCTGGCATGTCTTGGGGTTTAGTATCTAGGTTTTAGGCTTTAGGGTTTAGGGTTGAGGGCTTGCGGTGCAAGTCTCAGCATAAATCCCGAACCCAGCCTTGCAACCTTTGATATGCCGACCCTCTTCAGCGTTCTGACGCCCCTTTGGGATTCCCATTCACGACGCCCCTTCGGCATCTTTGCATCGTAGGTCCCCTATCACCCCCCTATACTGACCCCGGGTTCCCCCTCAGTTGGCGGTAATTCTGCCGACGCAGCCAGAGGGAAGGGTACATCTAGGGCTTACTACGAATACTTGGGGCTTGGGGGCGAATTTTTGAGTTCTCAAACCTTTAGAAAATTGATTTTAAGGAGATTTGGGAACCCTAAGCAATGGTAAGTTTATATGGGCTTTAATTGTATGGTCTCGCCCTTACCCCCTGTACAACTCGCACATACTCTCTGATCTGTACGCATCCTCCTCGTCCATGTTCCACACAGCTCTGACCCTTCTATTCCGGCCCACACACCCCTAACAGTGAATATTCCCATTCTGGTATATTAAAGTATGTTAGGGAGATTTCATGCTAGGAGTGTTGCATATTAGGGAGAACACTTATTTTTCTCAACCCTAAACCCTAAACCCGAAACCCTAACCACAAAA